TGTTTTGTTAATGCTTTCACTATATGTAATATAATCAATATCAACCAAGCTACATGAAAGACGACGGCGTCGTCGACCCAGACTGCCTCGGTCAACTCACGTCGTCTTAAACGTCGCGTCCTCAAATTTAAATCTATCTAATATGCTTGTAAAATGTAAATTATTAATAGCACTGTTTAAAATTTTCATTTCTATTATCTATTTGTAAAACCCTAGATCTGCACTGAATCACTACACGCCAAAATAGCAATTAAAATAACCAAGTTTACTCGGAAGGGAGTGTATAAATCATCTTTATTAGACATTCTAATTTTCTCAATACATGCAGAAACAGCTCTATTGCATAAGTTATACAGAAGCAGAACTAAATAATATCAAACAGCTAGTATATGCTTGAAGCGATTTAGTTTGTGTGCTACTCAATTACTCAAATAATAATGATTAAATTGTTCATTTTGACACCGAACAAGGTTACAGACAATCTCATTATCTTGAAGATTCCTCAAAATTTTCCAAGGACAATTTATTCATACAATAGGGTCGGCGTTAGATCATTTAGCGTTAACGTACACTGACATCAGATCAGAAGAAGTGTACCGTTGTGTGCAGCTAATATATGTTTGGCATTTGGCAGCAACATTTTGTATTTTCCATTAAATAATACAACTTTGCAGCAGAAGAAGAATATGAAGCAATACTTCGGCCAAAGAGATATAAATATTGCCCATTCGTAAAGTTGTCATGTTCCTGCAACCTGAAGATGTTATGAAACGTAAGCAGCGACGGCGGGCGCATAGGGTACTGCGCGCGTAATTACACGAAATGCCCACGCACTGCGAAGCGTCACCAGTCCCATACTTTGCAACTGTAGGGAGCCTCCTTAAAAATTGATTACTGCTTCATTCTACGTTTTAAAAGCAATTCCAATGATATCAAGTCCCATTTTCGGACATGGGCACTTTAAATATGATATAAAATATTTCATTCTGATGGGTAGCTTAGTCGAAGAATATATATACTATACATGAGGGCCATAAGTTAGATGCTGGAAGCTTTTTTGTTTGGGGCCGAGTATTCAGTATCCGGTTTTAGGATATAAAGAGCTTTCTCTTCATACACAATAACAAAACTTATTTTTGGATCAATGAAACAAAAGAAAATCAGCTGAGGATGTGAATATTTGCTGTTTGAACACTTAAACACTCAATTTTTTATCTTACATACATATCAACTTCGTATTGAGTTGTTGGACACCAAATATTAGATGTGATAGAAGTTTTATAGGAAAATACTATAGCTACAGACTGAAGCACATACATTCTTTCATTTGAAACATGCAAGTGTCGCGTGAATGTGCTGAATTAAAAATTAAACTGAAAAATATAAGTTTAGTACCACATAATTAGTATTTACACTATGACTGCACAAATTTAATTAATACGTGTGATAAAAATTAATGCCCAACATAAAGTTCTGATTAGAGCCATAGAAATAGACCAAAAAAAAACAAATTGTAAAATTTAAATTTATTGTGACGTTTCTGTCTTTACTCAAGACATCTTCAGACAAATAATAAATAGGACGTTAAGACAAGATATTATATTTACAAAAGGTGTTAAATTACTACTAAAGGAAGCGGTGTCGAATGGATACATGATAAGGAAGTTTGAAGTGAAATGAAGAGAAATTAAAGAGGTTAAGGAATGGAGTTTCCTTGCACATTAAGTGAAGGCTTGTGTTTATTGATTAGAAGGCTTTCATGGATGGAGAGTTCATAAGTATCGCTAAAGAGGAGATTATTTTAAAGTCAAGTCTTCAATGTGTCCAGTTGTTAATGTAAGCAAGAATGCTTGATGATGCAGGGTGGGAAACTTGGCTTGCCTGTAAGGATATTCTGCGCTGGAAAATCTGGTGGTGATTCAGTTTGACCCACATACGAAGCGTTGCAGCTCGACACTTGAATAAATAGACTACACCAGATCTCAGAGGTTTGGTAATTTTGTCCTTAAAGGTGTTGAAAGAATTGAAGGGCGGAAAAAAATTTAACCATCAGTTTTGCTCTTTCCAATATCTTTCACGATTTACGAATTTGTATGATGTATGCGAGTGGTCACTGATACAAACTAGTACCTGGACATATAACACGCAATACAAGACGGACATTTAACAGTTAATGAGAGCGAATTGCAATTTCAATTAATGAAGGAAACCGAAAAGATGACAAATTTAGACCCAAAACTAACAGCCATCAATAAATTTGGAGAGATTTTTTGGTTTCAGCAGAGCACTAATACCGATAAATCTGAAGAAAGTGTGTGTGAGTTGCTAAAGATTTCCAAAACAACGGTGCAAAGATTTTACACCTTCCCGACTTTTACGGTTGTGTCATTTTTGACTGTTAACACTGATGATAATTTACTTGTCTTTGTTGACGTGGTTGATGACACATTGTCTCCCGGACATTGTATGTATGATGTTTATATCTTTGATATGAATGGTTCAATATTGGAAGTCGACGAGAAGTTTATCATGACAGATAATTCTTTGGTATTAGTTCCCCTCCTGCAGACGTCGACATTGCAATACTCATTGCAAAGAAGAATTACATATTCCTTCAAGGTGCTCCAACAAAGATTCGTGACTCAGAAATTAAGAGCTTGGTACTACAAGCAGAAATAGTCGCGCCAACACTTGCCACCATAGATCATGAGTTGAATGTGATCACTGTAAAAAAATATGGCTGCTTTGCACAAGTGTTTGATCAACATGGAAACGTCGTTAAGGAGTTCACTTTATTTAATAAAAAAAAGAGACATCTGTTGCTATCACTTTTAACAACACAGATAAGGAATTGAATGCAATATCGTGCATTGATATTTCCTGTCGACGTATGTCTTGGATTCTCCTCAATGACGAAAAGATCATTCTTGCCTCGCTCATCTCAGTGTTACTAGTCGCCAAGACATCCATATTACGTCTCATGTTGCAGGACCTATTGCTATAATTTCCAAGAAATACGTTATTCATATACAGCGTTAAGAAACAAAAAATGACAACTTGAACTAGGCTACATTCCTCGGGGAAATCAAATGTAAGCCTTTTGAAAGTTGTAATGTTTAAATCTATTGATTTCACGACTTTAAATGGTGTAAATACTTTTAGATGAGAAATTCAGAAACTTCATTCAGTGACGTTTGAGCTTCATCAACACGATGTATTTAATGTAAATAAACTTTGCTCGTCGGGCGAGAACGTCAGTGGCGGGATCCAGTGTACGTCAAAATAAATAATAGCTCCTCAATTTTATACTCAAATTACATTCAGAAAAACACTATTGGCTTTTAATTTCTGAAGAGTATAATTTTACCAATAGATTAGCCTCTAAGGTGTTTAGAAATGTAAACATTCGCCAAAAAATAACAAAGCAACACTAAGGCTTATTGCCCCTAGCTTATTAAACACAAGAGTCGTACATATGTATGTATGCGTCATTGCAAGCAGTGGCAAAACCAGCCATTACTTTAACTTGGCTGTTCAAGTTTATCTGTTATTAACTAATGACAAAATTTCTAAAGAAATAAGTAATGATAATGCTACGGAAAATAATACAGCGTATTGCGGGATGGCTATATCACTAAACAAATTGTGAACACAAATCATATGAGCCTGTTATATGTATGTTGATCGATCATACTGACATACAATGTCTGAAGGTCGGTATGAGAGACAAATTTGAACGACGAGATAGGTATAGTATTAAAGGAAAAATAGCTTTCAATGCCAATTATATTGAATTTGTGGTCAATTCGTGTTCAACATTACAGTTTTGCTCTTTTTATGCTTCAACAGTAAGTTTTCACTTCTCTTTTATTTCTATAAGAATTACGAATCTAAAGTGATAATTTCAAATGGGGGACTACTATAATTTGTCCACTTCCAGCTTGTTTGTTATTTTATAAAAGGTCACAGTTTCGCAAAAATATCTTACCACTGGATATAAAAATACTAATTATACGTACGAGCTACATAATGGGTTATTATAAATAGCTCCTTTCGTGAAAGCAAGAATATAAGACAGTATATTTAATATATGCTCATGAGGAACATAATGAGTTTCCCAAGACGACGTTGAGTTTTTTGTCATAAAGTTCTTTTACTTGGAGTATTGATCAATGTTCCCAAAGGAGACCATGAGGACGAAAATAGTTGATAATAGCCCATATTACAATAAATCTCTCATCAACAGTGGTCGCAAAACGATGGCTGACAAACTCAATTTTGAAGCTAGATGCCTAGTTCACATATTTCGTTACTCAGTCTGTACTTCTGCTTTCATTTCTAAGGAATACGCATTTTATATGAGCGTTTTTTCAACATGTAGCTAAAGCTAATCCCTACGTAACCACAGAATAGGAATATACAGAAGAGTCGCTCGTGTCGGCAACTTTGAAGTTTTTTGTCCTCGCGCATGTCGTGCCGCCAGTATTCCAGCCAGATGATGAGGTTTTTGTTTTTTTCAAACTTTCAAAATCATCCAAAGTCATTTCTTGAGTCAAAATGTATTTGAATTCATTATTAAGTATTGACGTCATGTAATTTTAATGGTTGGAAACAAGTGAGAAATCCTAATCATCTGGCTGGAATAATGGCCTACATGAGTATACGTTGTACACCTGAGTGACCCTTCTGTATAATCATTTATCTGTGACGTAACGCTGAAAAAGTTTCCGTACGGCTGTCAGTGTGGTGTGTGGGTGTTGTTTACAATAAAAATGTGAATTTGATAAAGTTTCTTCTAGTTAAATAAATCATCTACTAAAGGTTAAAGATTACTTGCTTATTCTAAATCGAAATTAAACAAACATTGCAATGCCAAAGTGTAATTGAAGTGATCGTTTTAAACTAAAAACGTTACAAGGTAGTAATATAAACTATACTAAGTAATTAATAACATTTAAGCTGTATGAAAAACCTTTTTTAAATCGAAATGAAGCAAAAATTTAATGTGCAAAAGTTCCCGATTCACCATCTTTAGCCGCACCTGGGACACCTCTCGGAATTTCACTTCGTTTCTTTCCAGAAAATGCATGACTTCTACACCTTGAACCTGTTTCATCGGAGCCATCCGTACAATCACGTCTACCATTACAAGCTTTTGTCCAATGTATGCATCTATGACGGTATGCAAGATTTATGAAAATGCTTTGATGCGAATGTTGTCTTTAAGCAAAACTCCCGATTTATCATTTCATAAAAGTGTGTCGTTTGTATTTTCAGGAATATGTTTCTTTATCAAGCATATATATGATAGAATTGATATAATCTTTGTCGCATGTCATATAAAAACTAAATTATGTATATTTGACTAAACCTCATTTAGCGATAGGATGATTTGTATCATGATAGATATATTAAGCATGTCATGCGCTTCATTTCCACTGTTGTACAAATACTTTACCTGTTGTTATCGCAACGGAAAGAGTTGAATCCACATTTACCACCGTGTGGACTTGGACAGCCTGCTTCATCAGATCCGTCGGCACAGTCGTTGTCTTTATCGCACACATAGCTGGCACTGATGCATTGATTAACACTTCTGCAGCGAAACTGGCTGCTCGAACAGCTACCACAGCCAACCTATAATAAAACACGGGTATTCATTTTGTAGTTTTCAATCAACATCAGAAAGAATCATGCAATCACATTGTGAATCAACATTGATATTTATTAATGTTTTTACTTAAGCGTTATTGTCATGATATTCTACGATATATAATCTTCCAACAGTAAAAATGGTTTCAGTTAATTGATTGTATTTTCATTTTCTATATTTACGCGGAAACACAATCGAAGTTACAAACTGCTAGGAGATTGGTGGCGATATTCATATATTCATATGCAATAATTCATAATCTAGAAAGTATATGATAAAACTAGCATTAACATGCATATATAAATACCCCCGTATTATCTATCTTCACCAGCCCCTGTCATTCTTGACACATGCCAATTATTTTTCAAACAAAACTGAAGGAGTCGTATGTATTACGAAACGCAAACTTTATTTTCTTAACCAAGTTCACTTCGTCAACACTATTCTTGGTTTTTTAATGAAATTCATGCACACAATCATTAGCTTTTCATATGTTACCTGCAAATATTTTAAACTCTATTCATTTCTATCGTAAATGTAAATACTTAATGTCGAACAATATTTGCAATAAAACTAATTTAGTCACACTGATGATTTCGTATTATTACAAAACAATATGTTCCGAGGCAGTGCTGGGGTAGTCCAGGGGAGAAACGCATCCCAAAAATTTTATTGTCTGTCCCGAATTTCCACCCAGATATTTTCATCTCACTATTATCCATTAAGAAACTAAAAGGTTATCCTACAATTTGTAAAGTCCAGAAATAGATTACATGAACTTATAAATTTACTGCTTGAGGAGCTAGATCAAAGAGTTTTGATTGGATGCGTGGGCAAGTGACTATTTTACGTAGTCGTTAGACGTTGCAACGAAAATTCTAATGTACTGCTTCAATACATCGTAGTGTCAGAAAAGCAAACTGTAATTTAAACAAATATGAAATCCTGACATCTTTAGAGGAATGCAGCACTCTTAAAATCATCTCACATGAGAAGAGCATGGCAGGAAAACTAATAAAACTCATTTCAGAACGAAAATGGTAGCTGTGTCTGGAGGTCAAATTACGTGTGTTGTACACGCGAAGTTATACACGTTACGCTGGACTTGTTAATAAAACATTTTCTACAGAAGTCTTTTGATTTTGTTCAAAGAATAGAGATGGAAAAGTATTGTGGCATTAAAGGTGACGGGGCTTGATCTTTATTCAAATTGACAACTATAAAACAGCTATAGCAAAATGCCTTTCAGTTATGGTTCGTTATGGCTTATTTTACAAAAATGTTATTGTCCAAAATTTGTGTATGCTTCATGTTAAGTCTCATTTGAAATGTTTTGTTCGCATAGTTGAGAAAAAGGATGACTGTGTCTTTTTAAGATCTTTGCAGTTCGTACAAGTTATTTTACACTTGCAACATGGCCCTGTGTTCATAATGCGTGGATTAAAACAGGGTTTAACTGGCATTAAAACTCGGCTGACGAGGCCTTCCACCTATTTTAGTTCAATGATTAAAGCATACGTCATTGCTCATTATATAATATTCCATAAAAGGATTTTTCAAAATTTGTATCGGCTTTCAAGCCCTGAAATTGAGCGCAGATATTTGTGAAGTCTCGATCTTGTGCCATTAATGAACGTTTGGCTTTAAGAAGTTTGTTTTTTACATTCAGTTATGTATCATAGTTATTCTCTAATATTTTAAGTGTTAACATGTTACAGTAAACCATTTATATTAAAAAACAAAAAACTGACAGGTATAACGGGAAACTTGGTAGCTTTGTTTTAGAGAGAGAGTCATTATTAGACTACGTTTACACTACTCCGGATCGGTCTGAAAACGGCGCAAAAAAGTAGCAGAATCGGGATTCGTTTATACTTCACCGGAGCGGAATTATTTGAAAACGTCACTTTAGTTGGAGCAACACGACTACACTTTCTAAACGTGGTCGAACGAAAACGGACCGCTACGCTTTGTCGTGTACACAACTAAACGTTAATATTTGTCTACGCTTTAGATACCAGTTCTCTTTAATTTGTGTGGCATAATTAAAAATGTTGATCCTTTTATGTTTTGGAAAGCTTTTAATGACTGATTCTGTTGTAATTAATAAAAATCAACGTTTTTTTATGACGTATGTCAAGAGATATGAACATCTAGTAATATGCAAATATTAAACGGCGCCATCTTTCACAAACAGATAACGAATTTTGACAGCAAGAAACACTATGTGTAAACACCCGCTAAACTGTAGCGGAATTTAAACGGATCACTGTAAATGCAGTAAAATTATCCGTCACGTTTCGCTCCGGCGTAGTGAAAACGTAGTCTTAATGATAGAAGACAAATTAATATCTACCTCGTCACTTCCGTCCATACAATTCTTTATTTTATCGCATTTCCAATGAGATAATATGCACTGCCCATTTCCACACTTGGACTGATGGCAAGGATTACACCTTTCAATGGCAATTTTGTAACCAGACGAAGTAAGGCGAGAAACGCACACAAAGTTTCTTTCGTCATATATTTTTCCTAAAAATATATTTATTATTGCCCGTATTTAGTATTACATCAGTGTTATTCATTCTACGACAACAACCTGGTAACAAAGTATAGATTGAAATGTTTTCGAAGCAATTCAAATAGACAACTACAATATCTTCTTTTGCTCTCGGGCTTTTATCAAGCAGATGCGAGGTCAATAAAAAGTTACTGCATGACATTATCTGACATGGAAACTGTCTTTCTTTTATTCGATGCTTTCCTGGATATTTCAAAAGAATTAACTTTCACTTCTCTTGTTTTATTGGTTCATCCTTTTGCATAATAAACCCTTGTTCCATTGCCAGAAGAAAAGTAAGAGGTATAGCCAAATATATTTCCAAACAATTCAAAGCACTCTATTTTACCGCTACTGTCGGAAGCGACGAAACTTATAAAATATTTGGTGCTAAAGCAGTAAAAACTAAAAAGAATTCTCAAGCCTTTGTCCAGTGAAGTTGGATAGTAATGTTTATCATCTACGTTTATCATCCAAGTTTTGTAAACTTGCAGATGGAGCTTATAAATTCACTTTTACATAGAAAAGTACGATATTTTATTATTGATTTCATGTCATAGGTGTTAATAATTTGCTTGGTAAAAATCTTTCAGTACGTTGTTATTTTTGTTAGTTTGGAAGGAAATATAACATAACCTTTCAATGCGTTTACTTAGCTAATAATAGAATGCTCGTTGTGAAACGGGGCTTCTTTAGAACCATGTAAATGGCAGCAGAATTCTTCGTGCACTCTGTTGCATATCCTTCGATATCTATACTTAAGAAGTTTTGGATGTTAAAGTGCCATAATGCTTGCATGCTTAAGATGCCCTCTTATATATCTATTGATTTTTCACTTTGTCCAAATGCTAAGCCATGTTGAATTACTTTAATACCGGTGAACTCTTCTTTTTGACTGCCTGTGAGCATCAACATTCGACGTCAAACAACTTTCGGCAATGTTATGGTTCTTAGTAAATTCTGGAAATCCATTCCTTGACCTTAGAGCCGTATTGAAAGTAGTTTGTTTTAGATATTCACATGTTACATGCTTATATAGCTGCAAATTAAGTTGAATTGACGAACACGATCCATACGTATTATTTTTCTATAATATAACAATTTGTTCCAAAAAGTGTTAACTGTTTAATAACGTTATCCAGTAGTTTGTTTGAAGTCTTTTGTGCGTGCGTAAATAGAAAGAAAGTTAAAAATCGGTGCATCGAAGAATGAATAGCTGCAATTTTAAAAACAACGAGAAAATGACTGGAAATCATTGTTGTGATAAATTATATTATTGCTTTTTAAGAAGTTCGAAGTAGTTAAAGTACGCAAAAGAAGTTTTTCTCCGTCATCTAAATAAGTTGACATAAACTTATTTACTCATACTCAACATTCGTCTCAATTATTATACCTTACCCTTGCAGCAGCCATAGTTGTAGCTAAATGGCAAGTTAGTCCTAGAGGAATAGCCTAGGCATCTGAGATTTACACATAGCTCTGTTTGTGACTTGCATGATCTATAGTAGGTACTTCCAATTGCAGTCTGCGCCAGAACAATCATTGACAGAGTTACGAATGAAACGTTCATAGTACTCATTTCTACGTTCTACAAAAAAATCATCAAAGTAGCTAAATTGCAATTGTAGACATTTACAACATATTTAGCGAATTAAAACACGTTGCTTGTTGAAGACAATAATTTCAAACACAATTTAATTACATTCATGTTAAAAGTTTTTGTCCCACCGAAGATAAATGTATATACTTTTGAAAGATTGCACATACTTACGTTGTATTTTAACAGCTTTTCTTTTTTCAAATAGTTTAACCAATGAGTTCTGTCTCAACGTGATGACCTGTGTGTAATGACAAAAGTAATAAACGTGAAGGACATTTATAATTTTTGAAAATGACGAGCAGCATCCTCCTCCAACAACTTACTTTAACGGATGCTATACGTAAATGTAAATGAAGATCTGTGTTTTTTAACTGTAGAGAGACTTTTTCCTGTTAAAATATTAACTAAGAATTGTTTGTTCAAAAAAGCTGCTGTGAACTACTGCTCTCACAGTTGGTAATTTTAGAATATACATCGCACTTTTGCATAAGACTCAGTCTCAGCAAATAATATTTAATAAATTGATAAGAAACAAAATAAATTCATCTTTAGCGGTGAATTACTCCCTCTCACATCAAATAATTCCATGATGCAGATTAGATGAAACAAATTTATTTAGTAGTCGCGTCCCCAGTCGCTTTGGCACACCAATTCTCTGCTAATTACAAAAATTGGCCAAGAGGTTTCATTTTTGAAATGTTAAAAGTATGAAAAATACTCTCGACATCAGTAATTACCGTAGCTGCGTAAAAGCACTATTGATATTGCGAATTTAATAAAACGACAAGTTTTTTTAAAATGAACATGTTTCAACAGCTCATGATGCCATCGACATGATTTCATCGACACTGCAGATACTACATTCGCACTCAAAAGCAAAGAAGCACTTCACATTAACGAAACTAACCCTAATCTCAACATTCAAGTTTTTCGTTTTAACACTATATTCAGCCCGTAAATACTTTCATCATTAAGTCTAACCACTATTTCATTGTAATATAATAATCTATTCATAAGTGTATAAATTGTATCACAGTATCATATTACTCATACATATTCATCACATACATAATATTCCTTATAATACTGAAGATGGCATCATACGATGTTAAAACATGTTTATTTTAAAAACTTGTCGTTTTATTAAATGCGCAACATCAGTAATTACAGCTATGTGGTGTGACTCAAATGTTTTGCTCAAAATTGTATGGATATTTACGATAGCAAAAGCCAAATAGACGAATAATCGAGTGATGTGATTAGTGAATAGGTTAATATAGCAGTAATATTTTCAAGCATGTCATTACTTTAGGATTTATACGTAGGCAGTGTTTATGTATGTAGATAATACATTGAATCTTCCAGGAAATGGCGAGTAAAAGTGTTATGCCATGTTAAGTTTTAGGAAGGAAATTGAGATCCAAGATAGTTTAAACGTGGCATAACGTCATACTTTAATGTGTACTCTACGCTACAAGGAAGATACACAAACCCAAATAACATAGGCATTTCAGTTTATTACTCTAAATAAAGCTACAAAAATCTTATCGAATTCTTGGTTCTGAATATGTAATTGGTACCACAGATAATAATGTAGATGTAAAACAACATTCAAAGTAAGTCAAAGATATCGACGATGAAATATAAGTAATAAAAATGAGCCGAATTTATAATGATTTTTATTTAGCAAAAACTGTTCATACAAAATGGTTTTTTCCTTTTTTTCCGAAACGAAATTTTTACGTTGACGAAGATCGTTTGACTGATCTGTCGTGCAAACATTTACAGTACTATGTGTGCATTGCAATATCAAAAGCGCTGATGCGGATGTTATGGAAATGGAATGTAAAATAGAAAAGTTTGTCAAAATAGTCACCTATCCAATTACCATCGTACATATTACAAAAGTTGTAAAAAAAAGCGTCTTAGTTAACAACAAGAAATATGAGAAATACCAACAACAAGACTAGTTTGATAAATAAAATTGAGCTGTATATTTAATAACTATGATTTAGATAACTCAGCGTCTCATTTGTTAAAAAAGCAGTTAACTTCTGTCATTATGATCACAAACGTAATATGATATAAGCCAAAATGTTTTCCTAGTATTGACCCTAATGTTTTCTTATACTTTGGATAAGTTATTTTCAATTTTGCATTATTAACTGACTTTTAAGACGCAATCTTAACAATTTTTGTTATATTGAAAACTTGAAGATGAAATTTAGAAATTAAGGAGTTCATAACATATGCACTATAGTCTGGTATAAGCATCCGAGACGACGAAATACTGTCCAGATCACAGTTTATAAAGGCCAAAATAAGATTATAAATTAGGATATAAAACATAGATGGATGAATTCAATTTTAGATTAGTACAATTAAGGCTTAGAGAAAAATTTCACAAATGAAACTATAACCGAAAGCTTTGCCTCCTTTGCATGATTGGTAGAGTTGATGTAAATCAACATTCAAAGTACACAGAGCCGGATAATTTGAATTCGTTCAATCCAAGTCGCTCACACGTTAGCTCAAACTAAATAATAACTTAATCATGCAATGTGGTTTCAAAATTTCATTATAAAGAATTTGGATCAATATCATTACAACTTTCATACAATTGAGCAAGCTAAAGCAGTTTTGTAACTATGTAAAGTAATTCAAGTATCAAGGCCGGTTGCACGAAGCCTGGATAGCATAATCCACTGGATAGCGAAAATTTTCAAACTTGTAAAAAAGGTATTTATATTTTCCTTTCTACAAAGAAATTGTGTAATCTTCGAAAGAATATTTTATATCGGTGATCGCACTGTTCAAATCGTATATTTTTCACTTATAAGAGATTTTATAAACGTTCAGAAAAATTTGCTATCCAGTGGATAACGCTATGCAAGATTCGTGCAATCTTTAAAATGATTTGACCATTTGATTAAACTTGAGCTTTTGTATATTGATTTTTGTGGCTCACAGTGGTAAGCGAACAATTAAACTGCTAATTCATTTCTATTTACCTAACATAGGATATTAAACAACACTTTTGCTATCTCGAACCCCACACCCCCTAAGCGTCTTGACAAATATAGTGACAATAAAAATATGCAGATGTAGTTTGTGGTGCAGTAAAATAAGCACAATTTAGCAAAACTGTTTAAAAGTATTTATGGCTTTAAATGTTTATGCAAACTAGCTAAAAGATAAGGTTTAATACTTTCTACTGCCTCTCTAAAAGCAATTTACATTGACGTATATTGCTTGAGTGAAACAAATACTTGCTGTGGAGTCCGAGTATGTACATCACATTTCAATTGCTTAGACGGATATTAAGAAAGAAATGAAATATGGATTTTGGTCGAAATATCTAGCTATACCACAATTTCTTGAATAATATCAATAAATATTGAAGGACTAACTACATATTATAGCTACTTATATGAACTTTAAAACATAACTATTCCATTGTTGAGTTATTTAAGTAATTCGGAATTATTTTGTCTATCATTGTTTTTGTCACAGCAGCCAGTTATGTACAGCTCATATGAGGTATTATGAAGCGTATGCATCCTTCTGTTTCACCCTTAGAATACAAGACATTTAAAATTGAATGACAGTATTTTCCTGGAAGAATGCTCTTGCTCATGTAGTTTTGATATTTGTT